TGTCCGTTGATTGAAAACAAGTTATTAAAAAAGTTAATATATTTATAACACCGTAACCGGCGTGTCCTACAGCCGCAGCAAGCCATGAACGCATCATCCCAGTTTTTCCTGTTGAATGCTACGGTCAACAGCGAACTCACAGAACATTAACAGAAATGGATCAGGTGGACGTACAAAACACATTCAGAAGTGGCTAAACTTGCAATTGGAAGTTGAGTGCGTGCAACAAGGGAAATCAGATGTGTCGGGCTTCCGTCGGGCTCGGGCCTATTATACAGTGTTAATTGGTCGGGCTTATACGGGCTCGGGCTTAGTATTAGCGGGCTCGAGCCGGGTCGGGCTCAATTTTTCAGGCCCGAACGAACTTCTAGTTTACAGGCACTTTTTAAGTGGAAGAACTTGACAAATGGTGTCTGGCAAAATTTGTTTTTGCCATGCTGTATACTGTCACAGTGGTACCCACCTGGCTCCTGGTTCCTGGTCCTGCTGGTGTCCTGTGGTCTGGTGACGGGCAGTGTCCTGACAGTTCTGGGGTTTTTCTGCTCACGTAGAATCAAAGGTGAAAAACTCAAACATTCTGTCTTCTCTGTAACAATCTTCAGGCAAAACTGATAAAAAAGTTGTTTCTTTCTTCAGGCAAACGTGACGTCTCTGTGTAAGTGTTCTGAGAAACTGATTTAATCGATCTATTTGACTTTATTTGACTTAGGACTAAAATTATTATTATTATTTCTTTCTACAAGCTCACAAGACACTGGTCCAGGTATAGACTTTATTCCTACTTTCAGTTCCATTTTTAAACCTAATCGTGTAAAGTTGTTGATTTCTGACAGATTTGGAGCTCCATAGTGATGGATATGAGGAACCAGACGCTTCAGGAATATACACGGCTTTGGTACGTAACAGATAAAAGTTACACCATGTAAGAAAATAAAAGCCAAACAGGAAGTTTCAATGTCAAGATTTAAAGTTCATGACAAAATCTAGACTATGACTTTGAAACGTTTCCTTTTTTTTTGTAATTTGTAAATTTGTTTTAAAAACAAATGATTTTGTGTTTAAAATTAGTAGTATGAGCCTCATGTCCGAATGGATAAGATAACATACTACTTCATTGTCTCCCATAGAAGAAATGTGAGATCTTATTTTTTAAGATAAGATCTCACACAGGGAGAAATTCACAAATTTACACTGACACCACACACATTTACATACACCACAGTAGACACAGACCAAACTACAGACAGGGACGTAAGATGGAGACAGATGGAGTAGGTACAGGCAAGAGCACCATCAGAGACCTCTAGGACCATAGAGGTGATAACAGGACATCAAGACAGAAAGAATTCCTCCATCATTCCATACTTGTACTTCAGTAAACCTTAAGTTCAATATTTTATTTCTGTACTTTTCAGCGCCATTCTGGATTTCCAATTATGACTTTAAAACCAGATTTAAAAGAAAAAAAGTGTAATATGGTTAATATCTTACTTTTGTTTTCTGTTGTTTATAGAATCAAAGAAGTGAGTATGAAACAATCCCTGAGAAGCCGACTACAACCTTCACAAAGGACATCAACACAAGAACTGTTTGAAAGCAACCAATGGAAGTTTCTTTTCTCTAACATTTGGTAAAAATAACATAATTGTGTGCGAGTTGCAACATTAATGTTCTATTTTCTCTGATTTATTTGCGTGATGCCATTTATATTATCTTTGACATTTTTCACAATAGAACTTCATGGATTGGAATTTGTAAAACGCAATTCAAGAATGATCAACTGGACATGAGAATAATCTGATCTTGATCTAATCTAATCCCGAACAGAGTTTTGGTCGAGCCAACAAGGGAAAAGAGGATGGAGGAGGGTCATTAGTGAGAAAAGGAAAGTTCTCTCTAACATTCATAACTATTCCCTATACTTACCTTCAAAGCTACATAGGTATCCAACTCTCCTGATTCACCCACAAAACCCACCTCAGCCCATCCCTCCCCTTGTCCAACACCCCAAACCTCTGCCTCAGCCTGTCCCTCCTCTAACCTTCACCCATCACCCTTAAAACAACCCATGACTCCATCCTCCTCCCCTGCTTTCCCCTGCCCCTCTAATCTCTAAACACAAGGAAGCACAAGACCTCATCTTTCGCCATCACCGAAAGTCAGATTGGAAGAAAGATCTAGCCAGGGCCCTGTCATAAAGCCATCTGCACCATTCCCTTAGTGATTACACAAAGAAAACATAACAGAGACATCTGGAGTTAGTCCGTCTAATCAGCCATATCTAATTCTTGTTCAGTGTAAGAATTAATCGACCACAATCGTTGACACTGAAACTTGCTATGCCTAATGACAGACCTCCTGGCAACAAATCTTTTTTTATTGTATTTGTTCATATATTCTTGATTTTATGTTTATGGATGAAATATGTCTTGACCAAAATACAGTTTAAATAGAAGCAAAAAATCCCAAAATGTGTATTTAAATTTTAAATGTTAAAAACAAAAAGGGGGGAGGAATAGGTGCAGCTTTTTTTTTGCATCACATTGTCTCCAATAGAATGTCTTTGTAGAAGTTTACGTCATTTGAATATGTGTATTTTAAAATAAAATAAAAACAATCTCCTTCAATGTTCTTCATTGTCCTATACAAGCCACCACAGTCATGCTACAGTTCTATTTCATATGTTGCTTCAGCCCTTTAGGCTTCCCTATTGCATATCTCTCGGAAGCACCGCTTTCCGCCCTGAGAAGATCAAACGATCCACCGCTCCGATCACCTTCACGTCCTGGCGTAGGTCAGTCCCCCATAAATAGAGCTATGCACCACAGCTCTTCTCCATTCTCTCTCAGCTTGCCTAAGAGAAGCTTTGATTCAATTGCTAGGATGTCTTCAAGCAAGATCCCCGTGCCTGAGAACTTGCCACCCTCCGGTGTCAGGCTGCAGATCTGCAACTTGTGCCCGGCGGCCGTTACGATTCCGACGTCTTCTGCCTGAGCTGGCGTCATGCTGCGGGGGAAATCCCCAGTTGTGTGGCTTGTCTCGCGCTCCCCGGGAGAGAAGCGCTATAGAAGTAGTGGATACTCAATGCCGGGTGGAGTGGTGCCCATGGTGGCATCGCTCATGGTGTGCTACCCTCTATCCACGCTGGACAGGCGTAACGCTAATGCACCACAGATGGATGCTCTAGCTCAGTGTCTCCCAAAGTGGGGTCTGGCAGGGGGGCCGCGGGAGGTCATAAAAAAAAAAATATATATATATAATTATTTAACGTTAAATTTATAATGTTTTGTTTGTAATATTAAAATATTTGTGTTCATTATTTGACTTGAATAATCCACTGTAATCATTTTTGTATTACAATGTTTGTAGCAGAGGCAATTTTCCCCAAAATAAAATAACCAGAAGAGCCTATTCTTAATGTTGTCTTCTTGGTTATTATTTTGGGGGGCCACGCAGACCCGTCAGATTTTTAAGGGGGCCTCGGTGTTACTGAGTTTGGGAATGGCTGCTCTAGCTAATAACAGCATAGACTGTATATATAGGAATGGGCCCAGGATCGACCGCCTCCTTGGGAGAATCAGGAAGGTGGTTTAATAGTAGATATAAAGGATGCCGCTATTGAGCAAGTGGTGAAAAGGTGGTACTGCACCGTATTTTCCAAGAGGTGTCACTTTGAATACCTAATGAGTTGTCCTCTGGTTGACCCTGTGTGTGTGTGGTAAAACAAATGCTTCACCGTCATCTAAGGGGGTTATCTTAAGATGTTTTATTATTGAATAGAGCTCTGCGTAAGACCTGTGTATGATTACACCATGTTTATTCTAAAACAATCAGTGATAGCCAGTCCCTCCGAACAGCGCGTATCACATTTGATATCTTTCCTCGGACCGTTACCATGGCAATCTATCCGCAGCGCGTATCACACAAGTCGGGCATGAACATACTTCACAAATATCTCAAAAGCATTGGTAAAGACACAGACGAGAGTCATATAATAAAACATTTATTAACCTTGCTTGCTCGGCCTGTACATAAAAATATCAGACCGCGGCCTTAATGTACAGACCGAGCTGTGGCGAGGTCTGTGCAAAAAGGCCAAGGTCTGATATTTCTCTGTACAGACCAAGCAAGCAAGGTTAATAAGCCGTTAGTATATAATCATCCAGTTATGCTTCAGACAGGAATAAAAATACCTTTGCCACAATGACGCCACAACTGCAGCCATCATTTTGCGTTGGGTGGGGAATCTGCCCACCTTTCCAAGTTATGGCCCCCCAGTCTTGTAGTCCATGCAGGCTTCTTCTCATATAAAAAAAAAATCTGGAATAAATTCAATATGAAAATATATTTTTTAAGCAACAACTTGACTCGTTGAAGAATCGACTATTTGACTCAATGTAAATAATCAGCCATAAACTCTAGGAAAGGCACTTGTGTTAATGTAAAAAAGGATTAAAAACATATTCAACACTAAACCAAAGTTGAAAAATATATATATTTTATTGATCATTTAATTGAACTGTGTTTACCTGACACACTTTGCAGCATGTTCTGCTTCTGCCAACTCCTCGGCTATTGGAGCAGGATCCAAAATATAAACAGATTTGGCGAAAGGGTAAATGAACTGTAAAACAGTTGGATTAACAATGTGTATGCATACTGGATACTCATACATAATATGATATAACTTACTAGAAGCTGCCAGTGATTGCCATTTTTATGGACAAATGAAATCAAAGCTTCATACTTCATATTAACTTACATAAGAGTAAGTTAATATATATTTTTTACATCACCAACCTTTGCTAGAGACTGGTTTTTCAGTGTCTGGCGATCACCATATAACATGATGGTCGCAGTGAAATGGTTGAGTATGTACATTTTTTGGTCAAGTTTGGCTCTATAATCTGAAAAATAATAATTTTTCAAATCAATATCACGGACAATTGCGATGAAACCATAGTCAAAAGTTTATCATGTTTATGAAAAGGTTAAATATTTCAGTAACTTACCTCTCCATCTAGCCAGTTGTGAGGCTTCAGTGTTAGTAGGTCACTGTGATGTATTAGGAATGAATATCCTTTCACTTGTGACAGCACCTGTGAAACGTATGTCTCACTGCTGTTTTTTCTCCACATGAATTTCAGCTGTAATCAGAAAAGTAAATATGTATTCTCAATTCAGTCAAATACAAGAAAATTGACACTTTATCTTTTGGCATTTTCAGTGATACAGGGATGATACTTTTCTTGTACTGATTAGAACTTGAATAGAATTGTATTCTATTCAGAAAAAAAATGATGTGTGTTAAACAGTATCCTAGTATCAAACTAGTGTCCTCTGTGTATTCTTAACTTGAGATTATTCTAGAGACTCTGCAGCAGGGCTATTGGGGCAGACACATGTGAGTGGCTCGTTTGAAAATATTGCTCTTTCTGCTTGTTTTTGGTTGCTCTGGTCTCCATACACACTTTTTAGAACAGAAGGAAGTGGGTGTGGTCTACCAATCTAGTCCAGGGTGGGAAGAGTCCGCTATGATCTGACCTGCACTCTTCTCTGAAGGGTAACTTTACAGCCAGTCACCCTCTCAGCAGCAGTACAATGTAATGCAGTCTGCGTTTCTCCTTTGGCGTGGTGCCAGTGTACCACACAGTGATGGAGGAAGTGAGGATTGACACGATTGTGGTGCTGTAGAAATCCACCATCATCATCGGCCAGTTTCCAGAACGAATTACACCCTCAGCTTGACCTTCTTGTTGAGGGAGCTGATGGTCTGGTCACACTTGAGGTCCTGGGTGCTAGGAGATGGTGTTGCCCAGGAAGCAGAGATACTCCACTATGGGGGTTGAGGAATCTGTCAGTGTGAGGGGATACGGTGGAGCAGTGACTTTCCAGGAGTCCACGATAATCTCCATTGTTTTTCTGGGTAATCAGCTCAAGTCTTTTGGTAAAACTACAGCTTTCTAGCTGGTCCACCTCGCTTTTTAGAGGCTGACTCCTCAACCTCCAAGGTCCAGAAGGGGGTCGCTGATGAACTTGAGATGGGGCAAGACCAGGCATTCAAAAGTTTTAATTGTTCAATCTAATGAATGCAGTAAATAGTATATATTAAAAGAAATTAAAGTGAGAGATTGACAGTAAGTGTGAATAAGTAAAAGTTGTCTTAAATATACATATTACACATCTAGTTTACATTTCCAGGCTCAGTATGTGCACACACAAAAATATTTGGACAACATTTCTTCAAAATTGATTTTTAGCACCATATACACATGCTATATGCTTCCATACACACATTTATAGGGCAACTTGTTTACCTGGGAGTGAAGTAGCCTTTCCTCTGGTATGGCTGGAGCATCGGATTTCACAGCAGGTAGCATTAGAGGTTCCTTGAAGGTACCATAAAAAGCAGAGGCAAAGGCATTACTTATTTTAAATAAATAATTTAAAAACTGTGTCTGGCTAGTTTTCTCAATATATATCGGGTCCATGTTGTTGTGGCTAACCTTAACAACAGTGTCATCATAATAAAATAAAAGCATCAAAATAAAAAATCTAAAAAATGCTAAAACATAATATTTATATCAATGAACAGATGTATGATGTGGATCTCAACTTAAACAACTTGGGAACAACTTTCAAGGTCACCAAAAAAAGAAACAAGCAAGTTTTACTAATAACTCTTTATTGGGGTCCATAAATAAAACCAATAAACAAATACATAGGGAACCTTGTTTACCTGGGAGTCATCATCTGGCATTTCCTGAGGTATGGCCGGAGCTGGTTTCATCAGGTAATTCTTCTAGGTGTTTTGAAAGACATAAGCAATAGAATGTTCAAATATATACTGACCTAATTGGAATTTTTAGACTTTCCTTTTCAATTTTATATCCAGCCCTCTATGTGACCTTATCTGACATTATCTATTGTGTTCTGGGAACACAACCTATAGCAATTGTACCACAAATAAGTATGAAAACATATTGCCATAATTTACTTAATTCTAAATAGAATGTTGTGTGTAAGGCCACAGAAGGTATCCAATGCAACAAATAACAAAGAGAAAACATGTGGCCAATCAAAAGGGTGGTGTTTAAGGCAGTTGCTATTAGTAGGCGGGTGCTATTCTTAATGAATATTATTGTAATGTGTCAGTTTTTCAGTTTAATCAACAGACAGATTTACATTCAGTACTATACTTATTTTACAATTACAATAATTACAAAAAACATGGCTTTGTGATTCATATAGCAAACTGAGGCTATACTGAATGCCCCTCCGTCTATGCTTTAACGGTTTTGCGTTTCTTTTTTAAACTTAGATGGGCTGGGAAACCAGACTTAAACAGGTTGTGTTAACTGCAAATTAATTTAGCAGTAAATGTAATCATGCTTTTATATTTTTGGCGTTACAGATATTGATAATCTAAAAGACGAGCATCACAAACAATTACTTCTTTTTTTTCCCCAGTCTTATCTGTACTCTGTATGAGAAATATCAGACATATCTTACACATGTTTTTAAATAAATTTCACCTGTGATTCCTCTGGCAAGTGAGGTAAAGCCGTGGCATCAGATTTGTCAGGTTCCGCTTGGGTTTCCTTGAAGGTGTTAAATAGTTTTTATACTGTATATAGTTTATCATAATATATGCCAAAAAACATAACTTATCATTTAATGATGCCTTTTTGTGGAGTAAACATGTATTTACCTCTGATTGATTGGTCTTGTCTTGGGGCAAGGATGTGGCATCGTCTGTCTTGTATTGTTTTAGGCATTTCTTCAAACACAAATAATTACAAAGTGTATGTTAGAATAGTACAGTTACAGTAACTAAAATGCTACTTCCCCAATGCTATACTTTAATAAAGGTTGGCCAAACTTTATTTTATTGTGGGTTGTGTGACGTGTAGGCCCCAGAGAGTAAAACATGATATATTTTAAATATGGTAGAATGTAACAGGCAAAGAGTACCAACTTGGTGAATAGTTTTAACTATTATTGGCTAACCCATTGAGAAAGATCTAAAACATAAAAAAGTGTGAGTGATGAGAAAGAAAGCCTTCCCATTTCTACACACAAATCATAGGTTATGTTCATTTATAACTCTGCTTTTTGTTCATAATATCCTAATACATTATTCAAGAATGTTTAGGGTGTGTTTGTGGCCAAGCCTGACTCCGCCCACAATACAAATCCAAACACACCAGCATTATGTGTTGTGAAATGCAAGTGCAGGGGGGGATATGTGGTAGGTGTAGCTCAATGTTTAATGAGGACTGCATACGCTAGGTGAAAGACATTATGGGACATGTATTTCCCATACCTCGACAAGTACAATTCATATACAAGACAATTCCAAGTGCTTCACAATGTCATAATATTTACATTACGGCATACTCAAATACTTCATCCTTCAAACTTAATATGAGTGTTTGCTCTGATACATTTACTATCTTTTGATGAGTGTAAAGTGAATATGGATGACTGACTTTGATTACAGTGAACGTGATAATAGCCTGTATGTAGCCCGCTTGTGTGTAACCTGTAGAGGATTCCATTGGAGCAGAATAATCAAAGTATCTTTCAGGGTCAATTGAGACGGATCATTAAAAATCACTTACATATTTCAAACTCAAGAGGGAGCAAAACAACAACTTTTTTTCTTAGCTATAAATTCAGATTTCTACCAATATGTCCTAATATCACAAAATAGTGACATGGACCTGTAGGCAGGTCTATGAGACAACAACTTCAGTAGTTTATGAGCTGAAAAGGTTGATATGGGGTTTAGTGCTTCTTTAGGTACCAAAGTCTTGTTGTTTGGAGAATGCCTGGCTCTGACAAAAGATGGCCTAACATAAATCCCTTTACGGCTTCTTCTTTTATTCTTCCACTTCTCTGTGTCCACTCGAAAGCGCTAAAAAAAGCACACAGATGAAACTTTTTAGAAATCTCTCAAACTTTCAAATTTTAAAATTCTTTATATTAATTGTTAAGGACTCAAGGACAAAATTGTAGTGCAGGTGAAGAATCCAAAGATGGACAATTGCAGATATACAAGTTTAGACTTCCCAGTTTACCCACTACAGTCCAACATTTAAGCCTGATGCCCCATGCACCTTATTTTCTGTGAAACCATCAAATGTCCCAGTTTCACACAACCTGAGTTACAGGTGCCCAAGTTTTTCATCTAGTGCCATGTTTGAAACCAAAAAATTTAAATGGCCAAAGATCCATCTCTTCCGTCTTGATTGTTTGAAATACAAAAATGGAAAAAATTCCAATTTATTTATAACCTCATTGACAATGCCAATAAAGTCTATTCTGATTCTGAGATGGTCAATGTAACCTGGTCCACCTTTGATATGTGGATTATATTGTATTTAGATCGGTTAAAGTTCTCTCTTGAATGACTGACCGAGAGCACTGGTCGAACATAAACTTTGATTGATTAAATTTATATGGAAAGACTAAAACAACGTCGCCTAAAAGTGCTTTCCAAATACAGACAAAACACATGGATAAAAATTATCATACAATTAATTAATGTCACTAGCATCCACTTAGACTGTCTAGCGCATCTGGGTTAAATATCAAAAGTGAATATTTGGTTTGAGGAAAAAACTAATTTTCTGGTACGGTCAGGTTTGGTGTACTATTGTCCTTAGCCATTTGTTGGCCACTACAAATCTATCATATGCAACTGAGTAACCACAGTCAATTGTATGGAGTGTGTCCGACGACTTTCTTACATGTTTATTACATTTAATACATGTTCATCTCAAGCTTGATCAAAAGAGAATTTGGAATTTACCTTCCTGTGTAAGCAGTCTGGGTATTCCCAGGCTAGCATTCCCTGTTCTGAAACCCCCCTTCTAGGGAATGAAGAACTCAAAAACCATTTGAACAAAAGGAGATGGGGGACCTTATCGAAATTTGTATCAAGTCACAATTAGAAAATGTATTGAACGTTGAAATGTACTTACCTTTTTAGCGACAACTTTCGAGTCTGAATATTCCCTGAGAAGGGCGTCATGCATGGCCTTGTACCGAACTATAAAGTCATCAAGACGTGTGAAGGGTAAGAAAATTGTAGTGTGGAAGAGCTAGTCTCCAGGATAGAGCCTCGCCGTTCCACAGAGGGGGATCTGAATTTATTTTATGGGGCACCAGCAGAACAGTGAAAGTCTGCAACAGATCCAAACTAATCTGCCTCGATCAGTCTCACAATCTGATAAGTGTTGAGTACGAAATCAGCCAGGGATATCAAAAGATTGGTAAAAAGGACACTTTGACGATGACTTAAGTTTATCGTGGGTTTATTGACTACATACGAAAATAGAAAAATATTAACGAGGAGGGGTTTGGTCACATTAAACAGAGATGTTAAACATATCACATGAATTACACACTAACGTGGCAATTAGAACAGTCTTACTTTGACGTAGTCCGTATTGAAGAACCGGGAATGAAGAAAAGGGGAGGTTTGAGCAGTCCACGTGCTCCTTTGTTCGGGCAGGAGAGAGACACCGAGGGCCAGCAGGTCCGGTCCAACTTAAATCCACACACACGCACGCCGTCTAGAAAAGCGTCGTATGTGTAGGCGTCCAGAGAGCCGGAAAGTGGCTGGTGAGGATAGTTCGTGGTCTCCAACAGCGGGTGTCGTGAGCTGTCCTCGTGGAGGTAGAGAGGCCTAAGTTGTTGCAGGCCGGAGGTCGCGTAGGAGACGCGTACCTGTGGTTGCTAGGTTGATTACAAGGGATGCCAAGAGGACGTCCATGACGTCGTCTTTGTGCGTCTCCCTGGACAGACATGTTACAACGGCATATACACACACAATACACACATTTTGACGTTCATAACACATATACCGACACACAGCGTATTTACATTACAGACAATGTTACACACGGGTAGAGCCAGTAAAGGTTATCAGAACAATGTCTTCACAGAGCGATGGTTGTCCATCTCGGGTGTGCTAGTGTCCAGTGTCCACTGGGGGGCGTCAGAACGCCGTTGGTGGATCGCCAGTTGTCCCGGGGAGGAATGTTCTTAGAGTGAGTGCAGGACTTTGATCTTTGATCTCGCCGGGTAGGGGGGCAGAGATGTTTAGTCCTGTGGTCGATTCATTGCCCCAGGTTGACGGTTGTTATCTTTGTGACCGATGATAGTTCTCCGTTCGACCCTCTTTATGCCTCAGATGTAACTCTGGGAGGGTCGTTCCCGGAGCGCATGTTTACTTTATCCTGCTTGCTGGTTAACGTCTGAATGGAGCCAGGTTTGCTGAGTCGTGCCCTCTTTGTCACCTTACATACCCCCCCCACGGCAGAGATGCACCTTCCGACAAGGTGCATGTCATGTCGGATATGCCGGGCGGGTGTCCTCAGTCGGTCGTCTCGCCTGTTCGGGTGTTAGCGTGTGATCCATGGTAACATGCTATAACATTCTCGCCTCAATGTGACTCAGTAATTCGCAAGCGCCTAACTGGGGCCAGGCTCGCGGCGGTTGGGTCTCGGGCCTCTGGCTTGGTTCGTTGTGGCCGGGTTTTCTCTAAGGCGTGTCCTGGCCCTGCAGGCTAGTTCTAACCGGGATCAGGGGATCATGGAGTGAGCTACGGGCAGTGAACTCTAGGATTTGAGTCAGTACGCCTGGTTCCTGGGTCTCTTGGTCTGGAAGACTCAAAGTTCCAAGCCGAGAGACTAGCAAGAGTTTCTATTTTTAGGGGACTAGAATACAAAAATATAAAACTTCAAAAATCAAAAAGGGGTGGCTGTCTTGGCAGTGACTGGGCGAGTCATTAAGGCACTCACTGGCGAGGGGTTCCCATCTTGCTCGTTCTAAAAGGGGAGTGCAAGGATTACAAAGGTATACGACGTAGCAAGTGGGACTTTTAATTACAAGGGGAATTTCCTATATATAAACGGGGATGTCAGGTTTTGTCTGGGAGACTGATTGGGTATCGAGGTAGATATGTTTGGGTCTGAGCTGGTGACTCCTGGTGGGTTTTAGGCCCTTGGTTCACCTTCTGTGATAGAAAGAGTGACCGTCTCGAGTGGGTGGCTCTGAAGGTCCTCGTACTCTGAGTCGTTGACTTGGGGGCGCCGGCTTAAATTGCCACGCTCGACGGCGCTGTCGCCCCGGTTTGGTCGTTTACGGATCTGTCTCGTCATTGCCTCCGTGCACCTTTTAAAGTTATCGCGGAGTTGTCTAATCCGTCTATTTAAGACCGGCTGCGGCGGCTGGTCTGGTCTCAATAATTCCTGGGGTGCCGAGGCACACTATACGGGTCAGCACAAGGAGGAGAGGCCACCTGTTCTGCAAAGCGTGAGACACGGTTAGGGGTTAGACGGAGAGAGAGAGGGAGAGAGAGAGGTTCGATTAGTACAGCCAAGAAGAAGGTTAGGTTGCTGGACTAATAGTGTTCGAGGGCACGTGGTGTGTTCCTAACTGGGGTTTGTAGTGTGCCCTACCTGTCCCATGGAGCTTTGTTTGTGTGGTTTGGTTTGGTTGTGACGAACCCATTTGAGGGTGGGTTCTCTCCTACCTTTTGTGACCTCGATCTGGTACACTGCGGTTGAGAGTTTGTTTACCACCCTGTACGGTCCCGACCAGCGGGGTAGCAGTTTCCGGCGTAGTCTGGTGGGGCCGGTCCCCACTTGTCCTGGGGAATGTGCAAAGATGTAATACCATACCTGGTCTCCAACCTGGAGTTCGTTGTGAGACGCCTTTGGATCGTAGTAGGCTTTGCGTCCTTCGGCGCTGTCTCCCAGTTTCTTCTGTGTAAATGCAAACGTCTGTTCCAGGTGGTCCTGCGGGTCAGTCCTGTATTGGTGTGTGGTGTAGGCCGTGGCGATGTTCGCCTCAGCCGGTTGGTAGAGCCGATGCAGCGGGAGCGTCATTTGCCTACCTGTCGTCATTTCGAATGGGGAAACCCCCGTGGAGCGGTGGGTTGTGGCTCGGATTGCCCTCAGGAGCGGGGGAGTTTCACATTTCCTCGTTCAAATCTCCCTCCAAATGGGCGTAGCCTGGAGGACCAAAGGGGACAGGCGGGGGGGTGAATGTTGGGCGGGTCTAAGCTGTGATTGACACTTGACATCAGCATTGGCCGTGTCAATGATGGAGAGTGAACACAGCGACGCCAGCTCCACAGCTTCTGTGCGGTCTTGGGAGGTGGAGGACTTCTCTCCACCGTCCTCACCGGAGGTTGAGAGAGAGGAGTTTGAAAGAGAGGAGGCAGACAGCGGTCCTCAGCCCTATCAATTTGAGCCGCTAGCTCGCGAGCTAGCTGGCGCCACCGGAGGAGCCGATGTTGCAGAGGCAGCGGAGGCAGCAGACCGCCACAGAATGGGGCCTGTTTCTGAATGGTATATATTGATTACAGTGGCATAAAAAAGTACGATCTGCATTTAGGTCACAGGTATTGATAAGCAATCCTGTAGGAATTGGAACCCCCAAATTCTAACCTGTCTGATTCGAACCTTTGACAAGCGTGGGTTATTACATAGGCTATAACACCGTCCCATATAATTAAATTACCCCCTTATGTTGCGCCCTTTGCTTAACCTTTTCGTCGAATTAAACCTCTGTAAATGTAATTAATGACCCCACACCTAGATAGACAATATATTGTGTTATCATATAGTTATAATATTGTAGACTCCGTCTCAATAGGTGCACCTGCGGCCACTGCACCTCATTGTCCCCAAGGGAAAACGTGTGCTGCAGGGAGACCCCGAAGGTATTTTTGATGGAAACGATACCACAACATAATATGCAATTATGTACACAAAACATTAATTTAACATGCTCAAACATTTTGACTACACAAGACTAAAGTCTTGTCCCCGATGTCATCATTAAAATTCTGACTGACATCACTGTAATAGGTAATGTGCAGATGTCAGCAGGTGGGTGTGGACACCTGCATAACCCAGCACCCCGGATTTGAGCCAGTGGCTCTAAATCCATATGTTCTCCAAGCAGTGTACGCCACATACGTGCAACTGTTTGGAGACATGCCAGAGACCATGGTGAACAGGTTAGTTTATAGTTACATTATAATCTACTGATTATTTCTTTAAAACGCACCACCATTCTTTCAGCGGTTATAGGCACCTGGCCTACCGTAATTTTGTCCGGTGGTGCTGGGGGTATTTGGGGGAACACGTACGGGTCATCATCCCCTCCTGCGCGGTGACCAGGATTAGGAGCGAGTTCCCTGAAGATGGCAATTATATAGGTTTTCTCCCACCACTGGACTTCAACTAGTTTTATTTTATTAAAGTGTTTTATTTGTAATTTATTGTGTCAATTAAAAAAATATCTGAAAAGAATTGTAACTTTGTTATTTCAGTATCGATTTGAAATCATGCTTTTATACTGCACTTTTACTCTCAATATTGATGTAGCTTACTTAGCTTTTGAAGGCTGCACCCTCAAAAAAAGAATATCTAAACAAAAGTTTGAGTGCCCAGTAGAGGAATTTACTTACTATATAGCAACAGCTTTGAGGTGACATTTTCATAAACAACAAGGTACATTTGGAACAAGTACAACAGAATAAAGGTCCTACAATAAAATATTTACAAAAGGAAGCATATATATACACACACACACACACACACATATATACATACATACATATATATATAAATAAAAAACTTGATTAGATACACATGCAACATTTTTAACAGTATGTACTCAGGTAAAATGACCTGGCCAACATTCCATTGAATGTCCAGTTTTATTGGAAATTTGGAATGTCGAGTGGAACTTCACAAGGGTTGATGTGTGGTACAGAGGGCTGATTTTGTCAACATCCATCCGAAACCGCAGAGCCAACATAATAGCCGAGTCTCTTGCATGCTTCTTTTACCAACTGAAACATTAGCAATACATTATTGTACTTCAGACTTTTGTTAGAGTGGCAATGTGTTGTGTTGCTCACCTTACGTTCTCCTGACAAACCTGGACCTGTGCCTGCTTACAGCCTCCTGTTTGTCAGGTCTTTCAAACTGGGCACAGAGTGGTTCAGGCACAGGTACTTTGTCAGAGTATTCCTGATAAGGACGGGCATCCTCCACCACGCTTTCAAAAAGCAGATCCATAAGCTTGTCAATGTAGTCTAAAAAAAAATCAAAGTTTATCCTCATAATACTTATAAGCGTCATGCTAGTTTCAATAAATATGACATACATGAAGTAGGGTTGGTTTTCATGGCTCTCACTGTGTAGTCTCCGCGCTTGTATTTTGGGTACACTACAGAATACCTCAGCTCCCCAACAGACGTTGCAGCATGTGCCCTATTTGCATTTTCATTATAGTGCAAAGCAGCGACCTGCAGCCTAAAATTTCACATATAAAACAATATATCTGTATTATTTCTAAACATTTCTAAGAGATTAAATAACCCAAGTGAATTTTTGTTAAACCTTTAGGATTCATTAGCTAGCCAGCATTCCTTTGAATGAGAAGCCCACACTTTTGGGAGAGAATCTGATGATCAGGCTATGGAATGCCTCGATGTGTGACGTGTGGTATTGTGGGCTTATTTTCACTACATCTTTCACAAAACGTGGTGCCAACAAAATACTGGTCAGCCTTTCACATGCTGCTGTGCCTACAAAGAAAACGACATATTGATATGTCAAATGTAAACGATTAATATAAAATTTGAGATTGAGTAAGGGAGGAGCAGTTGTAATTACACATACTTGGCTTTAGCCACACTCTTGCATCATCCCCAACCAAAGGCTCGTGAGTACAGCGAGGGAACAGGGGGTTTTTATGAATGTGAACATTCTGAACGTGGTTGCCTACAGATGTCCACTTAGCCACAGCCTCGTCAACTGAGGAGGAGGTTGATGCCGACCAATACAGATGGTTCACTACGCTTTTTTTCCATATCTTTACGTCCTCCGTTCCCCTTTTCTTCCCCAGCTCCTCCATTTTTTTCGATTCCTGGGACGCCCACCAAAGATAAAATTGTTTTTAAATGATGTACAAAATTAAAAACACACATTACAATTTACAATTACTGAAATACATACCCTTTCCCATGTGCCAAGGATCAAAGTAGTGACTGATATCCGGTCTTTGTTCCCGTAAAAACTTCTGGACGCCCGAGTGTCGGTCAGTCACAATCGCTTGCACTTCAACACCCCTCTCTTCAAGCATTGTCAGACTACGGACAAATCCCTCCTTCTCCATGCGAACACTGTTCCCCACTTCATTACTCTGTCAAGGCAAAAAGATTTATACTTCCAATCGACATGTTAGGAAGTAACTGGTTACGTTCAAATGACATCACTACATTATAAATATTCTTCAATGTAATTGTTGGGCAAATAATATTTCTATAGTAGTAACAGTTCACATTAAAGTATGTTGCGATGTTGTCATTTTTTATTTAAAGAAATCTCCAAACTGAAAAACAAATTGATTTGTAAATGATTATTCATAAACCTTCCAAAGAAACACATCATTTTGAATAGTGCCACAACTTTTGGCCACAATGTTGTGATGTCCTGTGAACGCAACATGTTGTGATGTGATTTACCTGAACAAGCTGAATGTCAATTACCCGGTTAGCTTTGAGATTCATCATTGTGTAGCTCCCGTATTTTGCAGAGTGTCCTACAATAAGACAATATACACTTAAGCCAACTTTTCACATCTGTCAGAAGCTTGTGGATAAAGAATTACCAGGTGAATCGGCTCGCATATCTCCACCCAGTGTCATAGCCCCACCAGCAACAGCCTCCATGACACGTTCATCCTGCTCAAGCTTCCACTGCCAATTGACTGTTGGGATGAGGAGCTTGGCTTGATGCCTATAAAAACACTGCTCAGACAGTCCCTGAACGTTGAAGGCCCTGAGGAACTATAAAACGTGAACACATGTAATCAACTGATAGATATAGAAACATGATAATAACAAAATAGTATTGCTCTACCTTTGAAACCTGACGAATAGATGAGCCAGTAAACAATACTGCTGCACAGAGCTGTAGGTTTCCAGCGGGAATGTTGTTCACCAGTGGCTGGCTGGACCACTGGTTGAAGTACTCACAATGAGTACACTGCTGCTTCACCCGGAGCAGTGTGCCGACTGTCACGGTGTCAATAATACAATGACGGGTGCAAACAGGACAGCTCCGGAATAGCCCCAGCAGTTGTTCCTCATAAACAATGTACTTATATTGTTTATGTGGAGGGACTTGTGTGGGAGTTCTATATTGCAAAAGAACAATCAATAAATATAGGCCTTGAAAGCTGAAAAATGTATATGATAACTTAAACAGAATACCAAAAAACTTAGGTAACATAATTTACAGATGCATCCATAAGTTAATTTATTTTTTACCCAGTACAGTTCAGGGAGCTTGCACTTCCATCCAGATGGTAGGTGGGGTCAGAGGCTGACACCTCGCACCTTGGTCTTTTGACCGGTGTGGAGGTTGCAATGGGAGCTTCAGGAAACTGAACCTCCATCAAGGCCTCTGTATTGCAAGACATGGTCCTGCAATGAGGTTGTACCTGGATGGCTGTGTAAAAAACAAAAAGGTTAGTAAATGCACTAGGCAAGAGTTACAGCAAAACTATTCAATTAGCAAAAGCTCCCAACAATTATCACCTTTGCTTCTCCTGGCAGGTTTCAAATTGGCCTGGACAGATTCATGCACGCCAAGTAGTGCATCAGTCTGACAGCCAATTTCACGGGTTGATTTTGGCTAAAAACACAGTCAAACACAACATATGATCATAATTCATATTGTGTACGGTCAGGATAATACTCTCTAAACTTGAAAGTCAGCTTTCATTTAGTTTTAAAAATGCAGTTCTGCTAAATGACGTATGCTTCAGTTTTATCGCAGTGGAGTGTGGACAAGGAATAACA